TGTTAGATAATTAAAATATCTGATACAAATCCAGTGACAATAAAAACAGTTGAAAGAATCTTTGTACCGGGCTTGGTGGCTTGTGTCTGTGATCCCAGTGCTTCGGAGATGGAGGTGGGAGGATCACCTGAGTCCTAGAGTTTGAGACCAACCTGAGCCACATAGCGGGACCTTGTTTCTACAACAAAATTTAAAAACTAAATGTGGTGGTGTGTGCTGTGGTTCCAGCTACTTGGGAGGCTGACACGGGAGTATTGCGGGAGCCCAGGAGTTGAAGCTGTGGTGAACTGTGGTTATGCCACTGCACTCCAGCCTGGGCAATAGAATGAGACCCTGACTCAAAACAGCAAAGGAATCTGCTTATATATAATATTCTGTGCTAATTTTTCACTTTTTTTTTTTGAGTCTGGGTCTCACTCTGTCACCCAGACAGGTGCCGTGGCACAGTCACAGCTCACTGCAGCCATGACTGCCTGGGCTCAAGCAGTTTTCCTACCTCACCCCCTGAGTAGCTAGGACTGCAGTACGTGTTGCCCAGCTAATTTTTTATTTTTTCGTAGAGACGGACGGAGTCTCACTATATTACCTAGGCTGGTCTTGGACTTCTGGGCTCAAGTGATCCTCACATCTCAGCCTCCCAAAGTGCTGGGATTACAGGTGTGAGCTCTATTTGATTTAGAGCTAATAGTAATAAAAAGTTATAGAAGTGAAGACTCAGTGGAATGTAGTTGCTGACAATAGATTTCTTCGCATCTATTCAGTTTGGGTGTAGACAACTGTGAAGTGAAGGGGAGAGCAAAGAGGCCAAGCTTTATTTACTGTGTAGAATCCCAGCCTGGTTCCTTAGGGGTGTGATCTTGGGTAAATAGCTTAATAAGCCTTGGCCTACAGCTCTTCACTTTTCTGTTCTTTTTTTCCTTTTGAGTCAGTGTCTCACTGTGTCACCCAGGCTAGAGTGCAGTGGCATGCTCACAGCTACTGCATCCTCAGCCTACTGGCCATCCTTCCACCTCGGCCTCTTGAGTAACTGGAACCATAGGTGCTTGCCACCATGCCCGGCTAATTTTTTTTTTTTTGAGTTGGAGTCTCACTCTGTCGCCCAGACTGGAGTGCAGTGGCCGCTCCTGGCCACCGCAGCCTCAACCTGCTGGGCTCCGGCAGTCCTTCCGCCTCAGCCTTCCGAGTAGCTGTAACTACAGGCATGCGTTATCACGCCTGGCTGATTTTTGATTTATTGTAGAGATGAGGTCTCGCCAAGTTGCCCAGGCGGGTCTTGAACCCGCGGGCTCAGGCAGTCCTACTCACCTCAGCCTCCCAAGGCACGGGATTACAGGCTGAGCCACCGAGCCCGGCTAATTTTTTTATTTTGTGTGGAGAAGGTCCTGCCAAGTTGCCTGGGCTGGTCTCGAACACCTGGGCTCAGGCAATCCTCTTGCTTCGGCTGCTCAAAGTGCTGGGATTACAGACTTGACCCACTGTGTCCAGCTCAGTTTTTCACTTTTAAAATACCTGTTTCATATTAGGTGGTTCTGTGAAATAAATGAGGTTGGATGGATAAGCGAATGCATGTAGTTATTCAAATGTTGGATATTTTTTCCTTGACTTCCATCAAGTTTCTAATAATGACAAATGAGTAGCCATTTTTTCTTTTAAAAATGTGATGCCTCACATAGTCCAATTTTTGTTGGATTTCACAGTCTTAAATCACTCTTGTTCATTCCAATGGGCAGTAAAAAAAAAATTACAGGTAAGTACTTAGAACACTCAAGATTTAGGATTTAGATCATGAGTAGATGCAGCAGTAGGGTCAGGGTAGCACCAGGTGAGTACTGAAAATGAGACTGACTTCTTTTTGAAAAACCGATGAGCAAAAATCTATTGAGACCAGTTCCTTTATTTCAATGTTTAATAATAAACCAAGTTATTACAGCTCAGTAATGGGTCTAAAATGTCTCTGTTAGGATGTGATTCTTGTAAGCTGGACTAAGGAAGTGTTACATGTTCAATTAAGTGTTTCTTGCAGCTGCAGTGTTCCTGGCATGGGTCCCTGGGTCCCACCAGTGTTGGGGAGGACGCTGCGGTGGCCACAGACCTTCTGGGACTTGCCTTCCGGTGGCCTGGACGTGTGTGTGAACTTTGTCAGTGTGCGGAGAGCGCTGTGTGTCTTCTCAGTACCCGAGTCTGTCAGTGATTGCCAATGCTGAAGTCATAAAGCATTCGTCAAAGCCAAAGCTTCATATTACTTTAGACTATTTTGGAAAGTGCAGACATTTAGTTGAAATATCCTTTTGTAGCTCGCATTTATGTAGTGTTCCAGGTAAAATGTATTAAAGCATTAAACCTTTTTATGAGGCAAAGTGATTACAAGCCTCGTCCATGCACTCTTGAAAACATGATGTTCTCTTGCAGGAAGTCTCATTTTTCTCGTTCTGTCTAAAGCAGTTTGTGACTCTGGAATCACTGGCACGTGTCAAACAAAATTGTCTTGATGCTGTCTGCTCCCCTCTCTGCTTTAGCTTGTAGTCCGTTCATCCCAGAGACCCATGCTTTTGGGCAGTTCAGGGGGTAGACGTCTGGATTTTTTAGACAAGGCAAAACAGGTTAATAGGAAGAAGATGGGGAAGCAAACATGTCAGGCTGCTAATTCACAGTCGCCCGGAAGGTCTTGTAGAGGGGCCCTTATTTCAGACTATGTTGGCTGTTCCTCACAAACCAAACACTGGTGTGCTGTGCCCTGGCTGCTCCAAGAAGAATGACAGGAAATACGCATTAGAATGAAGGAAGGCTTTAGGCCAGTTCTCTTTCCTTACCTTAAGTACTTTGTATTACCCAGTTTTGTTCAGAGAGATGGAGTTTTCCCAACTTAAAATCCCGACTTAAAAGAAGTCTCAACACACCGAGTAGCAGATTAAATCTTGATTCGTGCCATTCAGCTTCATTGAAGTAGAATTTTTCTACTAAGCAAGAGAAGAGCAAGCCAACTTCAAGTAAAGTCGTTCGGCATCCATGGTGTGCACAATACAGCCGCCACTTACTGTCTGCTGTGTGCTAGTACTTTGTGTGTTTCAAGTACATCTTTGCGGTAACCCTCTGCAAGGAGGCGGCTCTTCTGGTGCTGAGAGGGGCAAGGGCTCGTGTCCCATGAGCCCACACACCCTGCATCTGGCTCCCAAACTCACACCCGCCACTGCGCGGGGCCCTGAGACCCGCCTGCGTGTAGTAACTGATCGCACGCCCTGCCAGGAGCGGTGCTGCCTGTCTCCCCACGGTGGTCAGCCTGGCCCTCCCGGCAGCTCTGGGGGGCGGGGAATTCTCATTTTATGCCCAAGAAAACCATGGAAGACGGAAGAAACTTGCAAGAAACTCACACGGTCTCACAGGAGGAGAGTTGCAGGCGAGCCCTGGACGGTCAGAGCCCGAGCCTCGATGGCCGGGCTTTCCTGCTTGGATGAAGGGTCCCCACGAGCCACGAGTCCGTGCGCTGCCAGGTTGCCCCTGCGCACCTGCGTTTCTTCCAGGTAAACTGGACACTTAGGGCGAGTTTCTTGCTTTGCCGAGAGTAGATCTGAGGATTGTATGTTCGCCCACAAGCTTATTGAAGCCGTTTGTCATGCCGTCTGGAAGTCAGAAGGCGTGAAGTCCACACGCACGGTCTAACCACGAGAAGGCACTCCTTCGCAGCGTGCTCGTCAGCTGCACACGGGCAGCAGTCGTGCCTGACCCACACTCGAGGGGCAACCGCGCGACCGTCAGAAGGTGCCCTGATCTGCCAAAGTGCCCTACAAATAGTGATTTGAGCGCTATTTGGGGTCAGGGGCTGATTATTCTAGCTTAACAGACGTATCCCGAAAAGGGGACTTGAGGCTCCTCACAGCTGAAGAGAAGCGAGTCGTGCCAGGAAGGGTTCACTTCCCCTTCCGTGCTGGGTGAGGAGCAGGCGTCTCCGCTGCTGGGTGAGGAGCAGGCGTCCACAATACTGTTTCTCTTCGTAGGAAGCAAACAGAGAACTCAGTTTTTATTTCTGGCGGCAATCAAGGTTGCCAAAAATAAAGACTTTTGTGGACTCACCTGCCAACTGAATTCAAGAGTAGGCAAAGAGCTACTCTTGTGAATTCAAGAGTAGGCAGAAGAGTTTGGGCTTCAGTGTGCAGGGGGGGAAACTGAGGCCCACAGCGTCGGAGTCACAGACCCAGCCAGCTGCTGTGTTACTCCAGAACGGCACCCTTCCACTGCCCGGGTGGCTTCCCAGTGGGCCTGATCTTGGTTATGCAGGCCTCAGCTGGTGCAGCTGTTTTGTGGTAAGCTACAAGCCTTTAATACATACGGTTGAGTAGATAATGATTTCAAGAGCTGACATTTAAGAATGAGACATTTTCTCTTCTAACTTCCAAACCAGTTCTAAAAACACACCTAGGGGAATTTCGGACTGACTCGTGTGAAGGGAATGCTTTTGGATAAATGTATAGGCCATGAGAAAGGCAATATTTTGAGATGACTAATATTTGAGACATTCATGTGGGTACATTCTGATCTGCCAGTTTAATATTTTCTATTATAAAATGTTATACAAACAAATGTAAATAATTGTTCACAGGGCTCATTAACAATTTATCCACTTCCAGAGATGCTCAGCAACAGTCTGCTGTCTCCCAAACTGTTTATTTCACATGAGAAATTGCTTGGCGCGTAAGTTTCCTGTGTTACTGTATTATATTTTGGTTCCAAGTAATGGTAATTGACTGACTGTGCTTTAAGCAAAGACAGGAAAGATGAGAGAAGTGTCAGGAAACCAGGAGCCAGAGCTGCAGCAGGGACACTGCAGCAAGGATTCTCTCTGCAGCACAGATGTGTGGAGACACGGCGTTGCCCCGGTGGAGACAGGTCCACGTGGCATACCACCGCCCGGGACAGAAGGCTGGTGGACGCGGAGCTGCTGGAATCTGTCTTGGAGAGTCAGGGACTTCGCGGGAGTAAATGTTTCCATTTTTAGGGTCCTTCTCGCCGTGGTGGACGCTGTGTTTAGGATGGAGAGTTAACTGCCACCATGGCAACCAGACTGGATTGGCTTCATTCCTTCCCACTTAATTGAGACGTCACTCAGGGAATGGGAAGTCATGTTTGTGTTTTAAGGTAAGTACAAGTCAGGTGAAGGAGGGCAAAGTGCAATTATTCTGTGGTCAAGATACATGATTTGCAAAATGGCTCTGATTCGCGGCACTATCGATCATCGATCTGCTCCATAAGCATGAGAAATCAGAAGGTGGCTAACAGGAAAATACTGTCATGACACAAAGATCTTCATAAAATACCAGGTAGTTGAAAGTCAAAACACACAAGGATGAACCTGGCTGACATTTTCACCGCTTGTCATTCAGTGCACAGGCTGGCGAGGAGCGTTCACTTGGCAGATTTTGGAACCCACGCAGAACCAAGAAGGTGAATTCCTTGGGAAGCGCCGAGTTGAGTGTTGAGAAGAAAAAGGTGAGCAGTTGAGAGCCCAGTCCACGGCCGTGGCAATGGGTAGAGCTGCAGGGGAGGGATGAGACTAGAGTGTGTGAGGGTGATTAGAAACGGCTTGCCGGGGTTACGGCACGTTACTCCATATTTCAGAAATGGTCTGGAAGGTTCAGTGTAAAGTCAGCCCAGCATGATTGTTCATTAAGCTCTGACAGGACATAGATGTGATGCAACTCTTAGATGGGGTTATGATTTCTGCCACCGAGGTCATAACTAAATAGACCGTAGAAGCACAAATTTAATACTAGCAAAAACTCAAAGTGGCAGGATTACTGTAATTACTGCGGTCAGTATCTTGAAGTAAAACACATGGGCAGATTTACTCATTTCATTTCCTCTTGCATTCCTACAAGGTTATTTTGTAGTTTGACTCTTATGACAATTTTATTTGTATTTTTAATATCTGGCATCGGAAAGCAGCTAGTGAATGACATGTCTGGCTTTACCGTGAAGTTATGACAGTTTTTTTGGGATAAAAGATCATTCATCATCAACAGCATTATATTTTCTTCAGCGATGGGGCGATTTGGCATCTTTACGAGGGGGACCCCAAAAAAATCTGGAATTTTTCTTTGGAGGGTGGGTCGCCTATAGTACAGGCCTCCCCGGCTAGGTAAGTCTTCCGGGTACCCGTTGGCATCAGTGTACCAGCCAGCGTTGTGAGAGGCCTCACTCAGCTTCAGGAAATTTTTTTTTCTGGAGAATCTTTCAACACGTCTGTCCCTTTCATGATGGGCGATTGATGGGCACACCGTGCTGAGTGTTAGCGATTTTTAACCAAAGCGGTCATGACCCCCATGCCCCACCCTCCCTATTTCCCCTATTTCGCCCCAAGCGGCTTTTTTTGGTTTTTCCCCAGATGAAAAAAGTCCTCAAAGGGAAACGTTTGCCGATGTGGAAGATGTGACACAAAAACGGCAGAAGCACTAAAAGGCATCAGAATGGATGAGCTCAAAAACTGTTCTGAGCCATGGAAAAAGGGTCTCGGTAGGTGTCTTGGGTCAAACAGAAAGCCCTTTGAAGGTGATTGAAGTTTAAACATGTAAGGACGAATAAACCATTTTTATAAATAGATTCTGGGTTCTTGGGGTCTCCCTCGTGTAGTTGAGGGAGCTGGGCCAACACTTCTCAAGTGTAGGAAAAACAGAGCGTCTACCCTAGAAACATACCTGGACAATGGCATCAGATAGATAGCATTCAGTCGATCAGTACGCTCAGTCCTGTAGGCGCCATGAAGAGCTCCTGATCCATATGGCGGACTGAGTTAGTCCCAAACACGTAAAAATGCTGGATAAATAAGAAGGAAGGAAAAAGTTGTAAGTGCACACCCAAGAGAAAACACAAGAAAATGTGTTACCCATGCGCCAGAAAGAAGGAAATAAGAGCAAAAACAGCGAGCAGCTGTTGAAGAGGGAGGCCTGGGACCTGGGCCTTGTCCACCAAGACACCCACCCTGTCAGTCACAGTGACGAGGTCACGATCTGGTGGGAACCCACATCCATCGCGACCTGTCCTTCCTGGGACTTCTTTCTGGAGCTATCAGCAGAATTCCTGTCTTTTCACTGGAGCTGCCAAGCATAAGGGTTTAGGTCTGGACCTCCTGATGGTGGTCTCAGCCACCGTGTAGCGAGGGTCTGCCTGGGAAATGGAGAGAAATACAGTGTCCTGATGCCTTTGGTGGAGCCCCTGAAGCCACTGGAGCCCCGAGATGCCCGGTATGGAAGTCAGTCTGTTTGTTGAGCTAATTCAAGCAGGGCTTGTACACTAACCAATCCAGCCACCACCTCTACTTCCAAGCCTGCCGGCTTCCCCAAGATAACAGTTGTCTACAGCTGGTGGGTGCCTGTCTTTACAGCCCTTTTTAAATGAAATTATACACACAGCTCCACGGTGGTTTTAAAACGTGCGCCAATCTCACATTCCCCCATTGATGCATGGAGCCTGGTCTCCCTCCCCTCGCCTGGGGGCGGGCCTTGGCGTCTGCCTTCTTGGGGAGAATGCAGGGGGCGTGACCCCGTGAGACTCCCCTGGCAGGGCCGCCACCTGGCAATGCAACTTCTGATCGAACCTTTCTACTGTTGACAGATAGATGCCGAACTCTAAGGTAGATAGATATATATACATTTTGAGTTGGAGTCTCACTCCGTCGCCCAGACTGGAGTGCAGTGGCCGCTCCCGGCCACTGTAGCCTCGACCTGCTGGGCTCCGGCAATCCTTCTGCCTCAGCCTTCCAAGGAGCTGGAACTACAGGTGCGCGCTACCACGCCCAGCTGATTTTTTGACTTATTGTGGAGATGACGTCTCACCAAGTTGCCCAGGCGGGTCTTGAACCTGCGGGCTCAGGCAATCCACTCACCTCAGCCTCCCAAGGCACGGGATTACAGGCTGAGCCACCGAGCCCGGCTTCTAAAATATTTTAAGATGATTTATTCCTGAGCCTGGCACTTAAGCCCAGGTATACCGACCCTCAGAGGTCCTGAGGACATGTGCCCTAATGCTGGCTTGGTTATATACATTTCAGGAAGGCAGAAGTTATAAGAAACCGTAAATCAATATACGTGAGATTTTCATTGGTTTAACCCAGGAAGGACGGACGTTTTCAAGCAGGAAGGTTGGGGCAGGGGCTTGCAGGTCATTGACAGATTCAAAGATTTCTTATTCCTTTTTTCTTGGATCTGCGTCTCACCCTGTCGCCCAGGCTGGAGTGCAGTGGCACGCTCACGGCTACTGCTGCCTCAACCTGCCGGGCTCAGGTGATCCTTCCGCCTCAGCTTCCCAGTAGCTTGTGCCACCACACCCGACTGATTTTTTTTTAAACGTAGGGATGAGGCCTTGCCAAGTTGCTCAGGCTGATCTCGAAACCCTGGACTCAGGCAGTCCTGTTGCCTCGGCCTCCCATAGTGCTGGGATGACAGGCATGAGCCTTGGCACCCGGCTTAAAGATCTCTTGCCTGCTAATTTGCAGTGCCTATCTAAGGACCGGGGAAGTCAGTAGAGGAGGTGCTTTGCTACGACAAGGGAGTGGGAAACTCCAGGTAGGAGGCCGACTTCGGGGGGGCCAGACAAGTGCCTCACATGGCTCCCCGGAATCTGGGAAGCCCAAGAGATGGCTTTGCGGGGCCACAAACCCTCTCTGTTTGTGGTGCGATGTCCCAGAGCCAGGTTGGAGAGCAGGCTTCGGGAGGTAGGGAAAGAGAGTCATAAAACCCTGCCTGACAAGTCCTTATCAGGCAGTGACTCCCCCAGCCTCTTAGTGAGGAATCTGGGTGAGGGGGAGAAAAAGTCAGGTTTGGTCCTCACGGGATGCCCACCCTCAGGACACTGCCGCCTGGAAAGGCTGCGCCAGGCGTTCCGGTCGCCTCTTCAGCTGCGGTCCCAGCTGGTAGCTGGTGCCAGACGCCAGGCACACGCGTGAGCCAGCCTATAGGCGCTACCTGTCCCTGCCCCCAGCTGCTGCCTGAGCGGAGACAAGCTGTCCTCTCCCAGCCCTGCCCAAGCTGCAGCTCCGTGAGCAAATGAATGTCATCGTGTTAAGCCATGAAGTTGTAGGCGACTGCTATGTTGCGATAGGTGGCCAGGACAGTACCTGTGCAAAGACAGTCCGTCTAGGGTACCTGGTCCACCCCCAGAGGAGTGAGGGCCAGCTAGAAGCCAAAACATCACCTGCATGCAGCCTACTTACGTGGTCAACTCCCAGTTGTACCCCACATCTCCATAATAAAAAAATAAAGATTAAAAAGAGTCTTTCCCATAAGTGGGATCATACCCTGTGTGTTGGTCTTCAACACATTATTTTTTTCTATGTAACATTTGTCCTGGAGTTCTTTCCATACCGATACATAAAGATTAGTGTACACGCTATTAACCACGCACAATTATGTCCCGTGGCTATGCTATGATGTATCTAAACACTTCTCTAATGATCAGCGGTTATATTGTATTATTTTATTATTTTTTTTTTTATTTATTTTGGTTTGGAGTCTCACTCCATCGCCCAGGCTGGAGTGCAGTGGCATGCTCACGGCCACCCCAGCATCGACCTGCTGGGCTCTGGCAATTCTGCCTCAGCCTTCCAGGTAGCTGGAACTACAGGCACATGCCACCACACCCAGCTAATTTTTTGATTTTTAAAAAATTTTTATTGTAGAGAGGAGGTCTCACCAAGTTGCCCAGGCTGGTCTCAAACCCACAGACTCAGACAATCCACTCTCCTCAGCCTCCCAAAGTGCTGGGATGACAGGCTGAGCCACTGAGCCCGCCCTATATTGTTTTAAATTTGCCTTTACAGCAAGCCATTCTGATATGAATACCTTTGTATTGGTCTCATACTGTACACGGATGAGAAGAGTCCAGTATGCTGTGCCCCCTTTTTTTTTTTTGAGTTGGAGTCTCACTCTGTTCCCAGACTGGAGTGCAGTGACACACTCATAGCTACTGCAGCCTCGACCTGCTGGGCTCAGGTGATCCTTTGATCTCAGCCATCTAAAAAGCCGGAACTGCAGGCACGTGCCACCATGGCTGGCTAATTTTGTGATTTATTGTAGAGGTGAGGTCTCGCCAAGCTTCCCAGGCTGGTCTCAAACCCATGAGCTCAGGCAATCCTCTCACCTCAGCCTCCCAAAGTGCTGGGATTATAGGCGTGAGCCACTCCGCCCAGCCCACTGTGACCTTTTCACTTCCATCACCAGTCAGGAAGAATACCTGCTTCCGGCAGGCATGGTGGTCACGCTTGTGATTTCAGCACTTTGGGAAGCAAAGGCAAGAGGATCCCTTTAGCTCAGGAGTTCTCGACCAGCTTGGGCAACGAGGTGAGACCTCGTCTCTACGAAGTAAACAAGAAATAAAAAAAGTTAGCTGGGCATGGTGGTGCGTATCTGTAGTCCCAGCTACCAGGGAGGCTGAGGCACAAGGATTGCCTGAGCTCAGGAGGCTGAGACTGCCATGAGCCATTGATGGTGCCCCTGCACTCCAGTCAGGGCAACAGAGTGAGACCCCAACTCGAAAAGAATGCCTACTTTCCTTGCCTTCTTGTCACTGGATAGTAACCTAAAGAGCTTTTTTTTCTTGAGAGAAACATCATTATACATAGTTATACAATGCATGATATAAAATACTTATAATATTACATGCTACATATGTATTTTACAGTGCATATCCGCATTTATCTATATAAATATGTGTATATGTAATTTACACTTCCCTTGTTTCTGTTGACTTTGTGCAACTTTTCAGATATGTATTAGAAATTTGTATTCTAAAATTTGTTTTCCTATTGCCTTCTGACATGCAATATTTTCTTTGAGCTTGTTATTTTATTTTGTTTTTATTTTTTTATTTTTGGATTGGAGTCTCACTCTGTCACCCAGACTGGAGTGCAGTAGCTGCTCCCGGCCACTGCAGCCTCGACCTGCTGGGCTCCGGCGATCCTTCCGCCTCAGCCTTCCAAGTAGCTGGAACTACAGGCGCGTGCTACCACGCCTGGCTCATTTTTGTTTTATTGTAGAGATGAGGTCTCGCTAAGTTGCTCGGGCGGGTCTCGAACCCGCGGGCTCAGGCAATTCACTCACCTCGGCCTCCCAAAGCGTGGGGTTACAGGCTGAGCCACCAAGCCCAGCGAGCCTGTTATTTTATATTTGTTAATGGCATCTTTGTCATAAAGAAGCTTTCCACTTTGAGATTGTTATCTCTGAAATGTTTCCTTTATAGAATTTTATATTTTGCTTAAGAAAGTCTTTCCACCTTAACATTATAAAATATCATCCTACATTCTTTGCATTTTTGTTTTACTTTACATTTTTTCAGATACCTCCTGAGCCTTTCTGGAGTTTATTTTGGCTTTCAGGGTTGGGAGTCCCTGAAATTCTTTGACTACAGTGGGTGGGGTGAGGCTGCCCTGTGTTGT